ATTACATAACATAATATTTGCCCATTGCAAGTATGCAATTCAATGAATTTTTATAAATTTGTGGAGTTGTGCAACAATCACCATGATCCAGCTGTAAAACATTTCATCCTCCCCACCCAGAAAGTTCCTTGGTGCTCATTTTTAGTCAATCCCTGCTTCTGCCCCCAGCACCAAGGCCTGGGGTCTTTGACAGGCTCCTCTCCTATTCAGTAGTCACTGAACATAAATGTTCTCTGGACCAGAAAGGTGGTGGATGCTCCTCAAACCCGCTACACTCTCAGTCTTCCCTTTCTTCCTCAGCTACTTAGGCAGCGATATAAAATTGGCAAATGACTTAGAGGGAAAAGTGGTCTGTTAGATCTCTCCTTTCTCCTTGAGATCCCAGTCTGTTAGGTTCTTATTGCCTCAGTAGCTTCAAGTGCCTTCAAACATTTATCTTTATATTTTGTTAAGTTTATGTAGTTGTTTTTGATAAGAATGTTGTTCTGCAAAAATTCAGTCTATTAACTCCAAAAGCCAGTTTTTATATTTATTAAAGGCGAGGTAAAATTTTGTATGTTTGTATTTTAAATAGAAGCCTCTTGAAGAAAGGAAGGAGTGAACCTCTCCGCCTTCCCACTTTTTTTTTTTTTTTCTTTTTGAGATAGAGTCTCGCTCATGTCACCCAGGCTGGAGTGCATTGGGGCGGTCTCGGCACACTGCAACCTCCACCTCCCGGTTTCCAGTGATTCTCCTGCCTCAGCCTCTGGAGTAGCTGGGATTACAGGCGCATGCCACCACAACCGGCTAATTTTTGTATTTCGAGTAGAGACGGGGTTTCACCACGTTGGCCAGGATGGTCTCGGCCTCTCAACCTCGTGATCCACCCGCCTCGGCCTCCCAAAGTGTTGGGATTACAGGCATGAGCCACTGTGCCTGGCCGCATATCTCTATTTCTAAGACCTCTACCACCCTGCTGCCTTTGGTCCACCATGGGACAGAGTCTTGACACGTTTGACCTTTTACCACAAGGAGGAGCTGTGACTCCACTGAGATTAAGGAAACTCAGAGGAAGGACAGAGCATTCTCCGCATGGGAGACAGTTAAAAGAAATAGCGGGTTTATTTGCAACAGGGGAAAATATGGTCTGCAGAAGCTGTGTTAATGCCGAAATGTGAGAGGTTAAATACAGACTGTTCATTTGCCTTGCTGTGCAGGTGCTTTTGTTCTAGCAAAGAGCCTAGACTGCCAGATTTGTTGCATGTGACCCTGCATGGGATGAGGAAGGGGGAGAGTTTGAGCCGGGAAAGAGGAGAGTTCACAGGCAGATGACAGTGGAGGACCCGCTCCTGAGAGGAATAAGAGAACCTCTGGACGCTGGGCCTCTGCTCCAACTCAATCCTGCCAAGAAATGACTTCCTGAGACCTGGGCAGTGAGCCTGACAAATCAGGGCTTCCTCAAGGGATATTGCAAAGAGAATAATTACCAAGGAAAATCTACTTATCAGACCAAAGAATACCTGCAGCACCATTCCCCTGACTCTAAGTGATGAAAGACTTAAGCTAGAAGGGGATTTTCTTTTCTTTTTCCTCTTCTGGATGTTCCTCTAAGTTCTTGGAGCAAGAGCTTGGAAGGATAGGAAACCCGTCTCCTGGATCTGAGCAAATGGTTCTGTCAAAACAGCATCACCAGACTCCCTTTCAGCTTCCAGCTTCAACATCTATCCCTGTCTCCCAAGACCCATGGAAGCTAGACTTGGCCAGATGTCAAAAGATGAGGCCAAAACAGCCGCAGATGGGAAAGAAGGTGGCGTGGACAGACCTCCAGGATGCACATCTGAAACAGGCTCTTCATTTTGTTTTCACTACAGGCTCCTGTTTCACCTTTTCAAAAAGCAGTTGAAATTTCCCTTACTTCTTGGAAATCCAAAAATAGAGCAAAGATACATTTTATATAGGCGTTAGCTATTCAGCAGGAGGGAGCTTCAGAGTATCTCTATACTCTACGATTTTCCACCATGCTGCCTGGAAGTGAAAGTCCAGCCAAACAGTTTAACCGGAAAACCATTAGCCGTCCTGTGGAGGTTAATTTTGCAGTTTATTTTGGAATGGAAAAAAAGCACGTATTAAGATAGGAAACTCATGTCTACATGCTAGAATATAAATTTCTTAACTTTCTGTAGTATGAGCCATTTTCAAATCTGGTAAAGTCATAAAACCAGACTATTCGAAACACACACTTCTAAGCTCAATATTAAATATTTAAAGTGACTAACGTAAGTAAGACTTGGAGAGTCAGGATCCCCCTGGACTTCTCGAACTTCTACCCTCACAAAAAAATCTAGAGCTCTTCTCAGTTAAAAAAAAATAATAATAAAATAAAAATGAAAAAAAAAGTGACATATAATCATTTTTCCTTGTTAGTAAATAATCTCTGTCCATCATGGCATTGCATTTAATTTGTGTTAATTATTCCCCTAAACTTTGGGGGAATTGCCCAAATATAACACGGGGTTTAAATATTGGACAGCCAAAAATATCACCCATGTTTAAAATATGCATCGTGATATCATTCAGTTCAACATGTCCTAGTTCTTCTGCAGCCTCCTGCCTCGTTCCTTTTGCCCCTACAACTCTCTGCCTTTTTGTGGATTAAGTTATCCCCAGGATAAAATTATTACGTTTTCTTCCCCGTTTGACTTTCTTGTTGGAAGCCTGACTCTTCCCAGGGATCCCAGCGTCTATCCTCTCTCCTTTCTGCAGCTTTTTTCCCCTTGTGCAGCAGAGTGGGCTAGAAAAGAAGACGTACATCATCAATTCATTTGCTCCTTTTTGTACTCAGACCTTTTTTTTTTTTTTGAAACAGAGTCTTGCTCTGTCTCCCAGGCTGGAATGCCGTGGCACGATCTCCGCTCACTGCAAGCTCCACCTCCCAAGTTCATGCCATTCTCCTGCCTCAGCCTCTAGAGTAGCTGGGACTACAGGCGCTCGACACCACGCCCGGCTAATTTTTTTGTATTTTTCTTAGAGACGGGGTTTCCCCGTGTTAGCCAAGATGGCCTTGATCTCCTGACTTCGTGATCCACCCGCCTCAGCCTCCCAAAGTGCTGGGATTACAGGCGTGAGCCACTATGCCCGGGCTGGACAATTCTTGATGGACAATAAAACACTTTTGCTTTTCATGTCTCCTGTAAAACACAAAACAAAACAACAACCAGAACTAACATTGCCTCATGTGAGGCGAGTGTCTTTCTATCAGTTTCATTCCAGTGCCTCTCCCGGAGACTATCCCTGTGATTTGGCAAAAACACTTGCGTAAGATAATGAGATACTTATTTATTTAAAGTTTACTCTTTAAGAATGGTTACATCTTTATGTAGTTATCATCACCATTGTATGTAGCCTCTTGTCATTTCACTATCTTCCCTCACTTCCATTCCTTCTTTGAAAGGCTTCCCATGTCAGCTGTGTGGTGCAATGAAATAGGTACTGAATAAGACTCACATCTAGGGGATATCTAGTTGTGTTCACAGAATTTTAGAGCTAGACAGAGGGTTGAAAATTATTTATTTATGCCCACTATTTCATAGATGAAGAAATGAGATGTTTTAAAAAAAAGTGTTTAAATGTAAATAGTAACTATATTGCTGGCCTCCATGCAACATGCATTTCATATTCTTAGTCTACAGATAATGTGTGAATGTGTTTTTGCTCCTACTGGATTATAAGCATCATGAGAGTGAGAATATTGTTTACTCATGATTCGCACTAAGTAGCCATTCAATGACTGCAAACAAATAAAGCATGCTTGAAGTTCCAAGAAGGATGGTGGTCATTTTTCTTTTGTTTAGTACTAGTTGTGTGTTTAGCAAATCACAAATGAACCATCAGGGTCTGTCTTTGGAGGGATTTCACCATTAGATGACAGCATTACCAAAGTTAGTGTGTGTGTGTGTGTGTGATTGTGTGTGTGTGCACGCACGTGCATGTGTGCATATGTGTGTGTGTGAGAAATGCCTTTCTAGCAGTGCTGGTCCCTGGTTTTCCTCCTAGAGATTGCTGCCCTGGGGCCACTGACGGAGGCACTGAGGTCTGAGTGCTGGGCCTTGCTGACCACGGCAGGAGGAACTGTGGCCCGACCACACCCCTGAAGCTGGGTGGATGATGCCTGGCAGAAAAGAGGAGTACCATTGGCAAGAATAAAGGGGACAGGAGTCCTCAACAGGGGATAATTCAGAAAACACGAAGGCATGTTGTGTTGTCACATTGGCATCAGGTGGGTAGGGCCCAAGGATGCCACTAAGCATCCTACCTGCACAGGTCAGCCCCCCACAACAAACAATCACCTGATCCAACATGGCACTCGGGCTGAAATTGAGAAACTCTGCAATAAGCTTGTATTGTAAACTTTGTACCAAGAAGGAGGATTATCAGCAGACAATTCAAGGGCAATACTGTCACCTACTTTTGTTTTCCCTGACTGCTGTGTTGTTGACCTTCATCGTCATTCTTTCCCAGCACATGGTGTCTGCATGTTGTCCAACAGTCTCCTGTTTCCTCATAGATCTACCCCTTGGACAGACAAGAACATCAGAGGGAGCAGGGCTCAGTTCACTCCCAACAATGACCCTTCAACAGGGTTTTCTCTGAACTAGCATCGCAGTCATGTGGGTTAGGTGGCTGTAGCTGGTACTCAGGTGAAATCTCAGGCCAGTCTCTTCTGAATCAGGGGGACTGCTGACCATTAATCAGAACTTCAAGTGAACAAAGATTCAAGAGAGCAAAACAATGTTCTGCTTTATTGTGAAGGGGAAGCAAAGGATCCAGAGAGGAACACCAGCCTGACTCTTGGGGAAAGGCCTGAAAGGGAGAGGAAGGGAGGAGATGGTCAATCCGGGGTAAGAAGTGAGGAGGGAGGGGGCTAATGGCAAAGGAATGACTGTCAGAGACACATCCTGGAGGCCACAATTCAACCCTCTCAACTTTTCCCAGAAGTTCCAAAAAATCCTTTAAAGCAGCAAATGAAGGGTGTGAAAAGCAGGAGCCATGCTAGAGGAGAGCCTGGGAATGGGGAAATGATTACAGGCTGTGACCTCACTGGCGCAGCCCCTCTCAGCGGCAGTGGAAAGCACAGCCTAGACTTCTCACCACTGCACACCAGAATCCTGCCCTGGGCCTTGCCTGGTCTGCCTGACTCTGCCATGGGCTGCAGGCTCCTCTGCTGTGTGGCCCTCTGCCTCCTCCAAGCACGTGAGTCCTGGGACCAGGTGACATGATCCTGGTGGAGTCCCTAAGCCTTTTCACCATGACAACAACAGCAGGCTATCTCCTGGGATTTGCCTGAATTCTACTTCTTTCCTTTGCAGGTTCCTTGGACACAGCTGTTTCCCAGACTCCAAAATACCTGGTCACACAGACGGGAAAGAACGAGTACCTTAAATGTGAACAAAATCTGGGCCATGATGCTATGTATTGGTATAAGCAGGACTCTAAGAAATTGCTGAAGATAATGTTTAGCTACAATAACAAGCAGCTCATTATAAATGAAACAGTTCCAAATCGCATCTCACCTGACTCTCCAGACAAAGCTCATTTAAATCTTCACATCAAGTCCCTGGAGCTTGGTGACTCTGCTGTATATTTCTGTGCCAGCAGCCAAGGCACAGCCCTGCAGAGTCACCACATCCCTGTGCACAAACCTCCCAGCTCAGCCAGGAAGCTGTGGGCCAGTGTGTGCACCTGCACCCAAGGCTCCAGTTTCCACTGTCTGATGGCCTCTGATGGAGTTTCAGTCCGTAGTACAGCCGTAGTGCACCCAGTAGAGAAATCCTCTATTATACGCACACGAAAGTCTCACAGAATTGTTTCTCAGCTAGAGCAGGGCTTCACAACAAAGCCACTGAAGTATTAGGGCTCCACAAACAAAAAGGAGCCTGTCCCATGCACTGAAGATCTGAACTGGTGGAGGAAACCATTTCTTGTCTTTCGGTGCTGCACACATGTGTCCATATTTTATATAACATTATGAAAAAAATATGATTGCTAAAAATGGTTGATGAGCACAAGCATAAAGGACGGAGAAAAAAATATTTCTAAGATCAAGAGACAATTCTGATGATCAGTAAGTACTTTATTTAACAGAAAAATATTTGGAGAGGCATGAAATTCCATGGCAATAGGTAAACTGGAAAGTGTTGAGGAGAAGCCGGTGGAGGCAGCCTCGTGCATTGTAGGCTCCTTCTCTTCAAGAAGGGTGACCAGCAAGCGTCACTCCCAATTCTGATGAAGGTCATCTTGAACTCTCCTCAAGAGCAGGCAGTAGTCAGATGACTGAGGATATTGGGAGACCTGAAAGGACTTTGGACACAAATCTCTAGGCAGCGGTGAGCCATTGGTCCTACTCCAAGTGAAACAACATGACGAAACTGATATTTTGGTACAGGAACACTGGTAGTAGTATGGATCAGAAAGGAGATAGATTTTTGGGTGGCATGAAGAATTAGGAGACTTCTAAATATCCTACATGAAAGATTAGAAAGAGTTTATGTGAAGCATTGTGGACAACATAGGCTTGAGGCTCTGGATTATGTTATTTCTTGGAAATAGTATTGGGTTTTATTCTGGGAGGGTTGAATATATGACTAGCTAGGGTCTACTTCAGCTTTGCCCTCCCTTTTAGGGAGCCCCAGCATGTGGTCAGCTTTGCTAGTGCATGCCTTTCCAGGGTCTTAGTGGGAATCACGGTGTTCCCACCACGACTCTCCACTCTCACTGGGTCTGAATGCCAATCCCTTCTGGCCCTGAGTATCTTCTGACATCCCTACCCATGTCTTCAGCCTTCCAGAGTTTGTTCCCTGCTGGGCCTTCAGGAGTGCCACCCTCTGCATGCACAACTTAGGATCTGGCCCACAAAGAAAAATAAAAAATAAAAAAAAATTTCTTACACAGGTTCTTGGGGCTCCTTGTTAGTACTCTGTGTCCTAAATCCCAGCTGTCTAGGAGTCAGTTATGTCCTCTTATCTTCAATCACATATACTACTTCTATTTTATATAAATATGTTTACTTGGCTTCTCTTCATGTTTACCGTTCCACTTTTCGCTCTTCTTGCAATTCACACGGTCCTGAGATAATTTTCCTTCTTAGGTCCATCCCTAATTCAGATGACTTGAACTCTCTGGTCACCACCCCTTGTTGTGGGAAACGCTTACGTTAGCTTTTATCCTCAGGACAATTAAACCTTTCACTTTCACTATTTTTCAAGTTTTCAGTTTAAATTCTATTGCTTTATTTTTATTTCCCTTGCAATTTGGTTTACTTATTGGGAACCAAACATACAATACGATTTTATTTGTTCGCATTTGTTCTACTTCTTTGTAGAAGGGCCAAAGTGTTTTCTTGCTGAAGTAGATACCAATTGAAACAATTTTAATGGTAATGATACTAGTGTTTAAAATAAGGCAATTTTAGGTTTTTATCTAGTGAACAGAATATCTCCAACTGTAGCAGGTTAGAGATCGATCCTATATGTAACCTGTTGAGAGGGAGAATATTCAACACCCTTAAATTCTAATCTACATCCTTTACATTTTTTAAAAAAATGCTGTCGTTTTTCGGGCCACATGAAAAATCTGATGAAATTTATACAGTTAGACAGAATGCCTAAAGTTTTTTCTCCTAAACGGAGCACATCCCCAGGTTAAAACAACATCTAAATTATAAACCCCTTGGACAAATCATGGGGATAAGTGTCCTTATCTCACGTGACGACTTACATACATAATGAACGATTTAACGACCCATAATCCTCAGTCCTACAATTATAATTATCATGCACAAAATGGTAATACCACTGTAATACCAACAATATAGATGGTAAAAAAACCATGTTAGAAAGTATGCATCATCTCATTTTGTGTTAAATTTGGTGTTCCATTTGTATCTTCAAATGGTCCTAGAATGAAAAGTCCATATATGGGCATAGTTAGTACATTTAAAGAAAATTGATGATTAATTCTGAATAACTAAATGGTCCCACAAAGCAATAAAGAGCTTTATGCAAGTGAAGTAGAGAAAACCATAGGAAGTCATCCAGGCTGAACGTCTACGTTGGCAAAGCTCTCCCCACCAGACTGATGATCCCTAACTGGTTTCCAAACATTTTGGAAAATGGAAGGGCTTTGGAGATCCCATCCTCAATTTCCCCATCTCCCTGATTTAATATGTGAGGAAATATGGCATCCACATATATGAAGTGATTGAACAATGACATACTGATTACATGTCTCCAACTTTATGTAGTATACATTTTATTCTTAGTTGTTTTCGAATATGTTGAATTGCCCTACTCAAATAGAATTCTGGGGGTGAAAATGTGGTGACTTTCTGCTTGCTCCTAGCTGTTGCTCATGGAGTATTTGTTGAACAAGTCAGACTGGCCCATAATCCCAGAGGGCTGGGGTACTGTCTGTTCTGCTCGTTACTAGGGATCCAGACCACAGATAACTTTTCTTTCTTCTTTCCTTTTCTTTGTTTCATTTTCATTTCATTTCTTTTCTTTTCTTTTTTTTCTTTTGAGGGGCTTGGTGGGTGCAGGGTCTTACTCTGTCCTGAGTGCAGTGATGCAATCAAGACTCACTACAGTCTTGACTTTCATGGCTCAAGTGATCCTTCTACTTCAGCCTCTTGAATAGCTGGGACTACAGACATGCACCACTATATCTGGCTAATTTTTGGTAATTTTTGTAGCGATAAGGTGTTGTGATGGTGCCCAGACTCAGACATAGACAATTTCTGTTGAGTAAAAATTTAGAATGTCTTAGGTGTGTGGATACCTGGTGTTCTGGCTGCTGACTCTCTGTGTTGTTGCCAACGCTTCCTTCCTCTTCATTCTCCCCTGGCCTTTGAAACCCATCCCTGCTGCTCAGGGATGTGGGATATGGATCCAGCCTGGATCCTGACACTGGGTTGGTGAGTGGCCAAATGCTGCTTTGGCCACAGGGAGGAGCTGTGCTCCTGTGAAATCTCTGAGGCAGGGACCTGGGGAAGGGATAGAGAGTAAGAGGAGAGATGGGCCAGGACGGATCTTGCCCACGGGGAACCATCCGTACCTCGAATGAGAGCATGACCGTACTCAGGTCAAGCACACTGACATCATCTTCAAGCTATTTTCCCTTTCCTTTGCACCACACACCTTGCGTTGTTCTTTTTCAGCATCCTGTGTATGTTAGCTCTAAGCCCAGCCAAGCCTCATGCCCTCCGCTTCAGGGACAGAGGGTGGCTCATCCCATTCGTGCTCCCTCAGCTCCCTCCCCAGTGCCTGGTTGCTGATTGGCATCAGTCATGCCCTTGAATGATGGGCGCTGGTCCACACTGCATCTGTGGTCATGCAGTTATCCTCCCTCCACAGAGCCGGGCAAAAAGGGCTCCACCGTGCTTAGACATTAAGGGAAGGGATGTTTTGAATGGTTCTGTCTTGTGTGATCATGCAAGACAGAAGGAGATTCCTTTCCGTGGAGGGAATAACTGCATGTACCTACAGATGCAGTGCTGGACCAGCGCCCATCATTCAAGCATGACTGCATGCCAATCAGCAACGCAAGGCACTGGGGAGGGAGCTGAGGGACGCAGCGAATGGGAATGAGCGCACCTCTGTCCTGAAGCGGAGGGCATGAGGCGTTGGCTGGGCTTACGAGCTATACATTACACCAGGAATGCTGAACAGAACAAACGCTAAGGTGTGTGGTGGCAAAGGGAAAGGGAAATATAGCTTGAAGATGATGTCATGTGTGCTTGACCTGAGTACGGCTCATGCTCTCATATCGAGGTATGGATGGCTCCCATGTGCAAGATCTCCGTCCTGGCCCCATTCTCCTCTTACTCCTCATCCCTTCCCCAGGTTCCCTGCCTCTAGAGATTTCACAGGAGTCACAGCTCCTCCCTGTGGCCAAAAGCAGCATTGCCACTCACCAACCAGTGTCCAGTGATCCAGGACTCTGGATCCATATCAACATCCCTGAGGCAGCAGGATGGGTTCAAAGGCCAGGGGAGATATGAAGAGGAAGGAAGCGGTTGCGCAACAACACAGAGCAGTCCAGGCAGCCAGAAACACCCAGGTATCCACACACCTAAGACCATCTAAATTCTTTACTCAACCAGAATTTGTCTATGCTCTTGAGTCTGGGCACCATCGAACAACACCTTACTCCTACAAACAATTGCCAAAAATTAGCTCAGATATAGTGTGCATGTCTGGTAGTCCCAGCTATCAATGAGGGCTGAAGTAGAAGGATCAACTTTGAGCCATGAAAGTCCAAGACTGATAGTGGTCGCTGATTTGATCCACTTGCACTCAGGACAGAGTAAGACCCCTGCAGCCCACCAAAGCCCCTCAAAAGAAAAAAAAGATGAAGAAAAGAAAGAAAGAAAGAAATGAAACAAAGAAAGGAAAGAAAAGAAAGAAAATATATCTGTGTCTGGATCCCTAGTAATCGAGCAGATAACAGACCAGTACCCAGCCCTCTGGAACTTATGGGCCAGCTTCTGACTTGTTCAACAAATACTCCGAATGAGCAACAGCTAGGAGCAAAGCAAGAAAGTATCACCAAACATTTTCACCCCCGAATTCCTTTTTGAGTAGGGCAATTCAACATATTCAGCAAAACCACACTAAGAATAAAAAATGTAATCTTACATACAGTGTTGAGACACATGTAATCAGTATGCATTGTTCAATCACTTCCATACATATGTGATGCCAGTATTCCTCACATTATTAAATCAGGAGAGCGGAAATGAGATATCTCCA